TACATCCCACCATAACAAAACCATAACAAAAAAGAAAGCTATTTCAGAGACCACTGGCAGGCTTGTTTAAGTCAATGCCAGTGTAACCCCCTAATGCCACATGAAGTACTTTGAGAAAGTCACTAACTGCCTATTTCCTCTGATGTAATGCTCAGCTAATAACAGTCAGATGTTATCAGTTCATTTCCTTTTGGGAGCCTTGTCTCATGCGAATTATGTAAACCCAAGCATTAGCAAGAAGAGTCTTCAATTTTTCTTGCTGTTCTTTTTGCTTCGTGGGCCAAATCATAATTTTGATATGATCCAGCATGGAGTACTTAAGTCTTGTGCAATTCCTTCCTGGTAATCAATTTACTGCACCATCTTTTTTGAATTAAGTCTGCAACTCCTCAAAAACAATTACGCACCTAATCCCATGCAGGACTGAATCTTGAAGGCAGTGAATAAGGAAATAAGTACACAAGGTATTCATAAAAGCTTTGTAAATTTTGAAACGTTAATGTTTGTAACAAAAGAAAATAATCTAATATGGGAAAGAGACGTACATTATTGGGAACTAACTACTGAAAGAAAGAAGAGGTATTCTTTAACTTGAAAAAAAAAATAGTATTTTAGTATTTAGTATCATTTCAACTATGCAAGCTAGGATTTGGATTTACTTTTTGGCACAGCAAAGAAATTCAAGACAATTACCATGGTCCTCTACACATTTATGTATATAATACTAGCCATAGGAATTAGTGTGAAACTACTGCCCAGCGCTTATAATATTTAACAGCACTTTACTCAGTTTTGCTGTTCACCATTCCCATTTTCTTAATTCCTCAGTCTGAAGTTCTGTTTTCTTATTCCATTAGCCTCTTCTATTAAGCTCTCCCATGGTACGGTTTTCATTTTGATTATAAAAACCTTTCACTTCCTCCTTGTTCATTCCTTCATTCAGTTCATTCTGTTTTCTTCTTCACAAACATATCCTTCTCCTTCTGGACTACTCTCCTCCATCCTATCCCAAACCAGCATTCTTTCCAGTTTCTACTTCATCTTCCAAATGTGGACTCACAAAACCTGACCAGACATGTCTCCTCACCATACTGACTGGAAGATGACTTTTTTTTTTTTTTTTTTTCTTCAGAATTTGGGTATTTTGTGTGTTTGTTAAGTCTGCAGTTCAGAAAACAGCACACGCTGAAAAAAAGGCCTATTTACTAAGGCAACTTCACAATGAAAAAATAGCAGGAGAACAGAGGCTTACGGCTTCTTTACATGTTACAGTACAAATTGAAATAGAAGAACGAACTGTGCAATATAAGTGCACTGTATATACACAAAGACACAATATTGCTAATAAAAAACTTCAGATCTATACAGTGGAAGCATATAGTTTGCATATTAGAAGTACCTACATCTTATTAGACATTCAAGTTTTTGTCAAGACACCTGATCATACTTGTAAGACTTACTGAAATACTGGGTGATTAATCCGCTCTTCAAACACATCATGAAATCACAAGGACAGCTCATAAATCTGTTATTCTACCCAGTGCTACAAACATGGTCTTTTTGTCCACCTAACATGCTCGGAAAGTTAATTCACTTTTCAAAACAATAGCTATTTCTATGAGCTTTCAAACAACAGAAAAGTTGCAGAGGTCAACTTCACATTTGGGTATTCACACAGATAGCAATGACTATGTTTTCTCAACCGCCCCAGCACAACAGTACCCTGGCAGCATATTACCATGTAGTAAGCACACTACTAAACAAGAAACAGAACAACAAACAGTAAAATACAAACAACAGCCTTACTCTTCGCAAAGATATCAACAGGTGATCCATCAGGCAAGAGCCACGGCCAGCCTTTGAACTGCCAAGCAGGACCCTGTACAAACACTGCCACCACACGATCCCTGTGAACATAATAGACGGATGGTCAAAAATACATTTTCTTAATCGGGAAACACATCTTAGCATGGTTTGTTGGTTGTGTTTCTTTTTAAAGCAACAGCAATCAAGCACGTGTAACAACTGCATCTTCAGTACATCTACTTTTTCTCTATTACAAAGTAAAGGAAAAAGAAAAGTTACATGAATTACCTTTCAGCTCTGTTCTCTGCAGGTTCATTTATCTCAATAGTGTTTATTTCTGGCCATTATTCTTTGGTTTTCTCAAAGTTCTCTACTAGTTTAGAGATACACCTCTATGAATTACAGGGTAAACTGACTGAGATTCAGCAACTTAAAAGCCATTATTTTGCATACTGTTAACTTTTATTCTATAAACTTACTACAAGAGACAGGCACCTACTTTCCTTCCTCCAATTACAAAGTTGGTCATATATTGCAATGCTATGTAACCATTAACTGCTGTTTAAGAAAATAAATTTGTTGTTAAAATGATGAAGCTTTTATATTAATAACATTTTCTAAAAAACCTTTGAGAATAAATGTTCAGCCACATATGGTCTGCTTTCTTGAACACCTGCACCATCCAAGCATGGTTCCTACCTACTACAACAAATTACTGTGTATCTAATCCAATTCTCAACTTCAGTTTACTGAATTTCAAATTGGGAAGACCAATCAAGAGTTGTGCATGCATGTGTGTCTGACTATTTGGTGGTGGGTTTCGTCCTTTTTCAGGGAAGAGGGGAGTAGGAATTGGGAGGAGACAGTCCTAAACCTTAACTGTTTATGTTGCAGCTTTTGTAATGAGAAGCAGAAAAGCCAGCAGCAACATTTCCACACATTCATTTCCAGATAGCAATGCTACCATGGATAAACAAAACAAACAAACAAACAAAAACAAAAACAAAAAAAAAAAAAAACACCCCCCCCCCAAAAAAAAAAAACACTTTCAAAAAACATAGCGCTTAATGTTCTGAAAGTGCTTCTGACCTAAGAGATCAAGGTCTGATCATTTAACATCTTGAATGCTATCTGATGTCAGAATTTCAAAACCCCTGACTACTGATTAAGGGTTCTCTGCATTGAGAACTTGAATTCAGAATAGAACCTCTGAAAAAAACAAAAACAAAACAAAAAAAACATTCTTCCCCATTAGAATCTACTTTGGAGGTTAAAAACAATCAGCAAAGATGTCCTGCACACCTAATATCGTCATGCCTACAAGGAAGTAGTAGAAATGTTTCCTAATTCATTGCATCACAAATATAGAATAAACATAACATAAATAATAAATGTAACAAATGCATGTTGCTTCAGCATTTACTTATTCAAAGGGAAATACATTTTCGTAGTATCAAAGAATGGCCTTTATGAAGAATATCTTTTTGCAGCTTTTTTTTTTTTTTTTAAACAGGAAAAGTTATTTCTGATTCCCTTTCCCCAGCTGAGGTTCTCCCTTCAGAACTAGGCTTCCATCATGTAATTCAGTTCAATCAATTTGATTCACTACTAAACCCATGGTTCATTTCTTTTGACTTTGAAAAAAAAAAAAAATAGCTAGAATATCAGATGCTGAAGATGTCTGCAAATGCAGTTTCCCAATAGACTCTCAGTCCGAAAGAAGATGAGAAAGGAGGATTTTTGCCTTGCATCATACTTCAATGACTTGCACACTACAGTAACAGAAACTGGAGAAGTCATATAAACATTCCTACTTGAATTTCTGCAATATTTCAGACAAACTAAACATAATTGTGCTGCTCATACTGTTAAAATGTAAAATACTATCCTTATAACAGATTTTACAATTTCATTTTTATACCATTTTAACCTGGAGACAAGAATCCATTAGAACCAACAGAAAAACCCATTCTTGTATTCCTGTTTTCATTTTTATGCAACTTAATAGAATTTTATTGGTTCCTTTCAAGTTCTGAATTCTCCCAATGAAGAAATTTAGTAAAGGGGACATCTATTTTACCAGTCTTGTGGCATTAGTTTCAGAGGTTGGTCTACTACTCGGTAGGGTACGGTAACGCTGACTGTAGTTCCCCCAGGTTGCATCTGGTCCTTCCTTCTCTGTATTAGAGTTTCATTTTCTCGCTGACAGCCCTGCTTCTTCTTTTCATCTGATGGTACAAACCTTGGGGAATAAAGAAACTGTCAGTAGACAAAAGTACTTCACCGTAACAGGAAACTTAACGACTTGATCAGATCCTTTCACTATTGCAGTCACTGAAGCCATCTCACTTTCATAATGCTACACCTCCACGACTCCATTCAGTACAGCAAGATGAAGTTTCATAAGCATTTACAATAAAACTAGTCGTACTAGGTCTTCTGCCCCTCAAAACTACAGCCATTACACTGGTGACATTTCTTGCCTACCTAACCCAACACGTCAGCAGATGAAAAGCAAGACCACTGTCTGCTAAATGACATTAACTAATTTATTTTAGGGATTGAGGGTTACATGGGGAGACATTGGGAAGCTTGTCCATTGAGAAATGATTGCTTGTTGGAGCACATTTTTTAGCTTTTGTCCTCAGGGAAATTCAAACATACACATCAGAATTATTTTTTCTCCAGAAAACTGTGACTTTGGATCAAAAACACTGAGGGGTCTGTTTTCTGGTGGTTTTCTTCCTTTCTCCTTTTATATTATTACTTATTAATTTTATGACAGTAATTTTACATTATTAGATGATTCATCTGATGTATGATACTACAATTATGGCTTCTTTTCTTTCCTTTTATTTTAAATAGCTTCCTTGACAGATCAATTATGTTTGCAAAATAAGGACAATGTGATCCTCATGTCTCAATCTCTAAAGAAACAAAACAAAACCCACAAATCCTTAAGATTCAATCCTCCAACAGATTCCATAACTTTGAATTTTCCACCTCCTTCTTATAAAAAAGGTGATTCCATTTAAAGAGCTTCCTCTATATGGCAGTAATAAAACAAAATACACACAGCAGTTCCCAAAATTGGTATCATAAATGTGAGATTAGCGTAAGGCTGTTTGAATGAATCTCAAATTTAAATCTGGAATTTGTAACAAGGACTTGCACTTCACAGAACTAAAACTGTGTGACAGCAAAGTATGCTGACGCGACCCAGTATCACCTACTACGCCAGCAAAGGAACCAAGGAGAGCATGAGCTCAGAACCATCTTCTCTCCCCTGACATTCTATTCAGAACCACCAGTTGCACTCATAATATTGTTTGCTTCTGACATTTTGTTTCTTAAGTTCTGACCAAAAGAAGCAGTGTGTTTTGTTTAACTGCAGAAGGTACCAGGAGTATTGGTGCTATATTTTAAACACATAATGCTGTACGCAATTGGTGACATTTATCTTCATTATAGAACAGATGGCGCTTTCTAAAAGTTTACTGCATTTAAGGGTATGCTGTTTGAACAATCTCTAAAGGTATTCTCTTAGATCCACTCCAACTTCTGTACTAAAAACTACTTGAATATGCTTAAACAGTAGGTAGACTGCATTTCAAGTTCCTAGGAAAGGCAAAAAAGAATGAGAAGCCAACTAAGAGGAATATTCATTATTCAATCCACTTGAAAATACTTCCTTATGCTAACGTCACACCTATTGAAAAAGAGGTATTCTGTGGGGGAATAGATGTGATATCTTTGTTTAGACCAGAATGTGTAAACTGCCAAGTAAAAACCTGCTAACAGTAGCAGTAACTTTACTTCCTTACCTGAAAAAAAAAAAAAACCACAACAAACAGCTGAACCACTCCTGTACTATGCAGGATTTAACATCACTTCACAAACAGACTAGCCCAATCAATTTTTGGAATGCATCCCCAAATGCATAGTACTACATTAGAAAATTATTAAAAAAAGTTAACAATAACTGAACTGAGCACTGGAGCTATGCAGCACTGAGAGGACAAAAACTGCACGGCAGCTGTTACAAGATAAACTCTAAATTATCTGTCTGGTGCATGCAAAACATAGAAAAGAAAACACAGTAAAAAAAAAGCTATAAAGGATGGATTTGAAAAAAGTATGCTTAGGCCAGCTAGAATATTATAAAAATGTTAAGACAGTAATTTCAGCAGTGAGTTCAAATACAATTAATATCCACATACATTGTATCTACCACATCTGATAGATACACAGAATGCTACCTTCACAGTGCATGAAGCGCAGCACTGAAACATTCAACACAGGTTTATTTTGGACAACTCTACCAAGCACGATAATTTAAAAACTCAACAGTGAAAAGCAGCTTTAATCATGAATGTGCATAAAAGGCTGTCCTGACAACGTTGCAAGTTTTGTTTTACCAGCACTAACTGCTCCGGCTGGATGCATTTAAATCCAGGGGGCCCAATGGGACTCATCCCAGGGTACTGAGAGCTGAACGACGTCATTGTAAGAGCTCTCACAATTATTTTTCAACAGTCCTTGGAATTTAGAGAGCCCAGTGAACCACAAGTTGGTAAATGTAGCCCCAGTTTTCAAGAAGGGCAAGAAAGAAGACCCTAGTAATTACATTCTCACTTTGATGCCTGGCAAAATTACGGAGATAGTCTCAGAGTTATTGGAAAACACCTGAAAGACAAAGCAGTCAGTGGTGATAGCCAATGTGGGTTCACGAAGGGAAAGGCCTGTTTAAGAACTTTATCATCTTCTGTGATGAGGTTACCAAGCTGGCCAAGAGAAGGCAGTAGGTACCATCACCTGGATTTCAGCAAAACTATTGATAGTTGCTTCTCAAAATACAGCATACATGAAAAAAAAAAAAAAAACAACCATGATGGGTGAACACTTTGCTGACAGATTTGAAGAGTATAGTAAATGGGGTTACATCAGGCTGGAGGCCAGGCTCCATTATAGGACCAGTTATCTTTAGTATTTTGTAAGTCATCTGACCACAGAACTTGAACATATACTAAATTTGCAGATAATAATAAATTGGGAGTAGCTGTCGACACCTTTGAGGGGTAGGCGCACTTTGCAGAGACCCTGACAGATTAGAGCGTGGGCAATCACCAATCACATGACGTTTAGGATACGCTGTGCTTTTAAATATACTAGAAAAGGTAAAAATGAGAACAGTAAACCTAATCATCTCTGATGAGATCATCTCTAATCATCTCTGACGAGACAAACACGGATGTGAAGAAGCAAATACTCTGATCCTTCAAGTTTAGCGATTTCACCACCATAAATTATATCTGAGACATTCCAAAATTGGCTGACACTTCTTTTCTATTTTACGCCTTGCTTTTAATGTTTAAGAATTCATCTCAATGCTATTTTATTGACAATTGCTCTCCAGCTCAAAGTCAGTTAAAAACTGTATTACATAACCGAGGCTCAACAAATGGCGTCTTAATCCTGTGTCTTCTGGCCTACAATCCCCTTCATTTTAATTGCTATACACATCTGTAAGCTTTTGAACATATCCCCAAGACAGAACACACACCTTATCTGTTTTATCTTATATGTTTTGATGACCAAAAAAAATAAGAACTGTGAAATATATATTGTTCCAATAAATTCAAAGAGTAAAAAAGGTGGCTATTGTAATGAGAGCATTGAAGGAAACAATTACGTACATGTATACATAAAGGAATAAAGCATGATTTACAAAAAGGTTATGAAATACATGCTTGTCTCTCGAGGACTTTGGAGCAAAGCTGTCACAGATTAAGCACGTGTAACAAAAGCCACGTGCTCCAGAACTGAGAATCAATAGAAATAGCTATATGAAATAAAAGAAACCTCCATCTCAGCATTAAAGAAAACAGCAAAAATGTCATATTCCCTCGGGAATTGTTTGCCACAATATTCTAGTTGGTGGTGCTTAATGACCTATTTTTACTTGCCCCGTTTTCCATCATGCAGTATGATAGAAACATACTGGAAACCTGACTGCATAGTAACATACATTTTCATTGCTTCTACATTTTCCTATTCTCTAGTCAAGAAAAATATAACATCCCATCCCTATTTAGAACTCAAGTTCAAATCTCTTCTAGGAAACTAATAATGTTCAATTCTCGTTATTAATTGCCAAAGTGATTGATCACATAAAAATTGGTGCATTCCTTCACACAGCAAGTCACTTTTCTCAGGTAATAGACAAGTGATTGAACAGGATCAAATGATGGACAATAACCAGTAATACATCTCCGCCGTTGCTGCCTTTGTGTAGGCTCTGAACTCACATCAATTGCTAGCATTAACTTCAAGAACACTTTCACTCAGGTCAGGTCAACACTTTCTGCCTCACAATTTAGGCACACTGAAAAATGCATGAACAGACAATAAGGCAACTCCAATGCTGGACAGTAACTGAGTTCATCATAACATACATTTGATTTGTCTACAATTTGAGACTTATTTTTACCACTCAAAACTTTTTTATTCAATTACAGAGCCAAAAGCCTCACAGACCTACCTCTGCAAGAGAATAAGTCATTTTTTGTACTGCATAATCCTTTAGACAGTTTGCTCAATATTAAAGTTGGATAAATCTCAGTGAGTTGTCAAGCCATACAGACCAGTTAAAGAAACTGCACTTTAACAAGAATTTCAAAGGCTTCATTTGCCACATCATTCTTAGCTGTGCAAAACTACTGATACTGAAAATTAAAGCAATTTCTTGTTTCTGTGACAAAGGGTCAAACAATAAATTTTCAGAGCTTTCTAGCCATACCGAGAATTTTTAGCTCCTCATTTTAGTTCCTGTGTAATCTGCTTCCTTATCAGATAAATAAATTTAACTATGATTAAACACAAGACGAGTAACAGTACTGACACACTAAAAGTATGTATTTATCATTTAACTGTTGACATCTCCCTGATGCCAACTCCTGCTCCACTTTAGCTATACGTAAATGCAAGTACCCATTCCTTATTATCACACACTTCACAGGACTGCACAATAGACAGCACTGCAGCCCACAGACAGAGTGCTTCACATGTGTATCATGTCCTCCTTGCCCCACAGCCCTGGGTCTCATTTTCCCAGGGGACAACTCACCTGTACTCTGTGGGATCTCTTACATTTCCTACCAGACTCTTCAGCTCTCTTCTAGCTCCAAAATCCCTTCTTCACATACTTGATCATTCATCTTCTCTCATACACCTATTACAAGCTAACTACCCCTGAAAATACAAGCTATTCTAATCTATCTGCACCTTCTTCAGCAGGTGTAGTAAGCAGAGAGGAATATTAACTTGGATGTTTAACAGTGTGGGCAACTTTATTTTTTATTTTTAATTATTCTACAATTTGCAGTAAATAACATTTGTCTTCCAAATCTCTGCTTTCCTGTCAAATACAGCTAAAAGTGGTGAAAGTTATAGCAGGGGGTGATTCAAGGCAGAAATTACACAACTACTTCTCTTGGAAAATCATCACATACATGTATGTATATACACACACACACACACACACACACACACACACACACACACTCAATCTAGCCTTGATGTAGAGTGATACATATCTAGTTTCACACTGTGCCTATCTGAATAGTAGGAACAAACCCTACAGCCATCCCTAAACAAACTAATTCAATCAATTGGAATACAAAAACTGCAGGCCACATGGCACACTTCCTAGCACATTACTAGAACCGTCACGGCAAAACTAATATTTTGCTCTTCTGAGTTCTTCTATTGCACTTCTGATTTGTTAACACTCCCCGCTTCCTCATTTGCTTCATCATACTTGTTAAGTATGTTAGTAATATCCTTTGTTCCCTTAAACTTGATTTTTGCCATTGCTTTCTCTTCCTTGTATCAAGTTCTTCGCATGCTAATGATCAGCCTCCTCTGTGGAAGAGTCTTAGTGAACTTAACTGTAACTCTGCCCCACAAAGCTGAAAACAATCAAGGTTTCCCAGCACCGATATACTTAGATGTGACAAACACATCCTTTATTCCATTACAGCTATTCATCTACCAGCAAGTCATGAACTGCATAGATGAACAAGTCAGGGCTTGTGCTCATGCATTTGTTTCTTAAACTAAATACCCACATAATCAAACATCCTCTGTCAACATAATTATATCAGCCCAGTAACTGCTAGCACATTAAATTATAATGTTAAAAGCAAACCTCTCAGATTAAATATTTCAGAAGATGCACTAAGAGTCCAGTTTGTCTACTGGCATCTAGAAACTGGAAATAGCTGGAGATCAGAAGGCTAGATACCTAGTATCTCACAAAGCTGTTTTTAAAAGTTCCAAGTTGACTCCAGTAAAAACTTAGCACTGCAGTAAGGACAGTCTACTTCTCAAAAGTAAGCATATGAAGTCTCATTACAGGATAAAATTGAAGGAGAAAGAAGAGCTCCCTGGTTTTTGAACAGACTACTGGTGCAAACAACCTATAAATGCATACTTTTGTGAAAATGGCTGTTTCAGAAATGAACCAATATTAACAGACAGGTAACTCTAAACACCAGAGTCTCCTGATTGTGTTTTGTTGTTTATTAAAAAAAAAAATCATAATAGCAACTGTTACCTTTCCACTAACAAAGTGGATTGTAATGCTGATTGCACACGGCCACAACTAATTAAATTTTCGGATTCGGGAGGCTTATTTAAGCCACAGTAGCTGTTTCTTCACTGTCATATCCTAGCAAACTACAGTGCAATGAATAGATTTTAGCAACTCATTAATATATCCCTGAATATGCATTATAATTATTTTTGTTGTATGTGAACTATAAAAAAGAATGCCTATCACTTCAGCACAGAGTCATTTCTCATTTACTAATCTTTGCTAAACAAAAAATATGTAAAGAAAAATAACAAAGTCTCCATCTTTTCGGCACCAATGAAAATGTAATTTCAAAGACATTACACTGATATTGGCAAAGAAAGACTGAGCACATTTGTCCAACTGTCCAACCATTCACTGTCCTTGACAGTAAGTGATCCCAGCATATAAATGCTCGTTATGATTTGAGGTTGCAATTTTAAGAGACCTATTTTGATTTTGTACCTGCATACATTGTGTATATCATGCCTTTTGTAACTTTATCTCCTTTTAATGTCTAATTCTTACCTCTTAATTTCACTACTGCTATCAAGCAACTTCTTCACAACCAGCACAAGCTTTCTAATCCTTTCTTCAGTTGTTTTGTTGGTTTTTTTTTCTAAGAATCTTCCCATTTTTCAAATTCATTCTCAACACTACTGAGATCAGTGCAATGTTCTACTCTTAAAAAAATCCCGCTTTTCTACCTCTCTTTTTAAATGTTAGCTGCTATCTCTTTCTAACCTACTACACTACACAATAGGAATGGCAACACTCTCATTCGCACCTGGTCTTAACACTACCCTTCCTTCCTCACAAGTTAGCTCTATAAGCTTCTATTTACAGTTATTGTGCTAGATAAAAGTCTCATTATTACTGAACTTTTAGTAAATATCATTCACCCTCAGGAATTTCTTGTCTAAAGGTGTCAGTGTGAGAATCCAATGCTTTCTGACCAGGGTCTTCCAGGTATTCCAAAACAGAAGAGTTTTATTTAATATTGAATTTACAAATTTGAACATTTGATCCTTTATGGAATTTCAATTGAACAGAGTGATATTTTGATTTCAGTTAGTAGCTCTATAAGTACAATATAGCAACTGCAAGATGGAGTTAGATGACCATGTAGACAGACTCCTGTTATGAGTCACTGTATGATAACCGTCACTAGTTACTGGAACGCTGGGTGTTCCTAGTCACTGGGACAGAATCCATCTGCTGAAGAAAGCTCAGGCTTGTTTTAAGTTGATTTTCTGGGTTGTTTAACTATGCTATGTTAGGTTAGGCAACATATATACCCTCCTCTGGTGGTCTGGCTCGCTCACGAAGTTAGATCTATTGATCTTCTCAGGGAAGGCCATTAACACAGCTGGTTCATCTGCTCAGCTAATATATTCATTGATCTGAACCAAAAGCCACTATCTGCACTCCTTTTCTTTTAAGATAGTTGTGGCCAGTTCCTGCATTCTCTTTTGCGCTGCATGAACACAATGCCCTTGACTATGTCCTCTGAGCCTTCTTCCATGGTAAGGGTTTGTTCTTCAGCCACACACACATGCATGTGCATTACATAAAAGAAAAACCACAACAGTCATCAGAATTGCAGGATCTTCTCAATCGTAATTTGGCTCATAGGTCACAACTGTGTAAACATTCTGAAATTAAGTTCTGGCATTTTTTATCACTACTGAAGAGGAATACACTTTTTTTTTTTTTTTAATAATCCAGCCCGTAAACCTAGCTTGTCATATCAGACAGTAGATACTCCCCCCGATTACTTATTGATTTGGTCCTAATATACCTTTATATCTAAAAACAACTTTTATACAGCATGTTCTAGTCAGCTACTTACTTCAGATCTTGCAGGAGGTCCTTTGCGTTAAGCATCGTTATTAAAGAGGTTGTGGCTGCTGGAATAATGATTATGGGAGTTCGAGATCCTGTAGAGATAATTAAGTTGCATTTCTTGGTTTACTTTTTTTTTTTTTTAATTAGAGAAACTGTATATAAAACCAAAACTCTCGCTTAGTGGACAGCAATCATGGACAAATAATCAGGGAAAACTGTAGTAAGTTTTATTTAAATTGAAGGTCTTCATTGACCAAATAAAATGTATGCCTGTATCAAGAGTCTCCAGGAGTCTGTAAATAACACTAACACCATATTTAGCAAAACACAGTTCTGCATGCTTGTGGTTCCAGTAAAAGAAAGAGTGGGCACAATTCACACAAAAACAAAAAGGACCATGTAACCAAAAATGACTCACCTTTTTTCTGGTTGGGAGGTGGTCTTGCTTGAGAAACTGAGAAAAAAGCAGAATGTATGACAGAATGACTAATACATAATACAAATGCTGCAACTCAAAACATTTCAATATTTATCCCACATTTCAGTGTTTTCAACCACAGGAGTCACACTACAGTCATTGGATTGTTTCCAGAGATGCAAAACACAAAGTTGAAGAAGGGCTTTTTAAACTGGGTTCCAACATTGAGAAGATAAGCAGCTTTTGACTTCATACAGATGCAAGTGTAATTGTGTCAATCTTCTCTACTTTTAAGCCAACTACGCATCCCCCTCCATCCACCTCAAAACGAAAGGGCACGATAGTGTTCCAAACATTGCCAGCAACTGCAAGCAAGCTGCTTGTGGATCCCAAGCCCAACAGCACTGAACCAACAGGAATAATGTTTCACAAGATCATCTTTACAGATCCTCATCTTTTCATTAGTAGCAATGGTAGATGAGACCCACAGGATTTAGCTACCCCTAACATACATAGAACTTCTAATGAACTTGAAAATTCAGTCTTATTCAAGTTAGTTTTGGATTGCAATTAACCCCTCAGTTGAGCTTCCCCCCTCCCCCAATAAACTGTTTCCATTTTAGCCATTCCAAGTTTTGCAGCCTCCTCAATATCAGAGATACTTCAGTTTGAAGTCAGCAAGGCATGTACGCTTCCTCACTTGGATGCTATTACTCAATAACCTGCTTTCTCCAAATAAACACTTCATAGTTCAGTTTCAAACAGTTTTCAGGAGTCCTAAACTTAAAAGAAGAATAGAAGTCTTGTGCTTGATAGTCATCATTATATGTTTACCCTAATTCACAAAATTAGAAAATGGTGAGTAGTAGAAGAATTGATGCAGACTGTGTACATCAAGTCTCAACTGCCACTATGCATAACATCTTTCATTAATTGACTTCCAATTTCATAGCATCATCTTGCTCATGTTTATTTATGACCAACTGTTCCAGAAACTGGCTAGGACAGCATAAATATTCACATGAGCAGTTGCCATTGTTGAAATATTGAGACCATATCCCTCAATTATCTTTTCCTGACACTATCAAATGCAGAGATATAATTGGTGATATTGTCTTGAAATGCTTCAACTTTACGTACTTTATTTTATTGCTATTTTTTAAGTAATTATCTCCTCATTGTAAAAAAAAAAGAAGTTTCAAAAAAAATACATGGATAGCATCAACTGCCTAGGAAACAGAAAACTGCATCTATACAAAAATCTGATACCTGTACCAAGACGCTTTTAATTGAAAATTAGATACTCTAGATACATCCCCCAAAAATCTTGAACTGAAATAATCTGATATATAGTTGTTCAAGACAGTATCATACCTGTTTTGGACAATTCATCTATTTTTTCCTATATAAAAATGAAGCAACTTCATAAATACTGCATGTTTTAAGTATTTCAATCACTGTTACCGCTCTTCCTTCCTGAGGAGGATATCTCCAAACTACCTTAGAACTAGCAGAAGGAGGAATTCTTTTCTGAAACATTGTATTACATATTTTCTTCAGACTGTACCTCTCTTTTTATTCTATTTTCAAGCTGCAGTATGGAGGCAAGCTAAGATTAGACTGGCCTTAGAGAAAGGCAATATCATTGTAATGATAAAAATGCATTCCTACCAGCTAATGCACATGAAACTACAACTATAGCAGTAGGTTCCTGTGACAATCCAGTCACGCTTCTGCCCTTGCCTTTTCTACCCTTTTCATACTGCTGTCTGTCAACTCCATTTACATTATTGTGCTCAACAGGGCCAGTGAGATAAGTATGACAGGTAGTATGACCTTTCTAGCACCCAAATAACAAAACAATCATATCATCTGTGCACAACAGCATTTAGGAATGCTGAAAACATTCAGTGTTAGCATGATTTTAGGGAATTTGTCTTATCACATTATTAAATTACAGCATTAAATCCTACTAATACATCTCAGGGAATTACCAAGGCATACAGTCAAAGTACTTGGTCTAAACAACACAAAGCTCTAGCACAATTTCTAGGAAAAAAAAAACAAACCAAAAAACCAGCATTCATTTCAAAAGGCATCTTTGATTTAAAATAAAATTAACATCAAGAAAGCCACCAAAGAAATTAATACCAAATTATCCCTCCCAAACACATTCATAACAACAAGCAACTTGCTGTTAAATAGTAGTCTTCACTTTAAAGTTTCTTCCACCAAAACACAAAGTCTGTTCGTACTCTTAAACTCATCTCAAATCTCTAAGGGTTTCTCATTAGAACATGCCAAAATATCTACACTGTTCTAACTTTCAATTTGAGATTGAGTTTCATGTACAAAACTGAAGTCTACTAGACCACGAATTAAAAATCCAGCTGACAAAGCTCTACTATAAACATATGTAAAGACACATGAAGAAGTAACGATAATACATAAAATGTTAATACACTCACAAATAAATATTTCTGATATACTGCTTAAAGAAATACACATCTCTTTCTGAGATTTACTTTTCTGCTTAGGTTGTTTGTCACTGAGATATTAACCAGCTCTTGCTATATATTTCAGTATTAATTTGTGAATTATTAGACTTATAAGCAAGAAGTTTGTCACTCAACTTTCCAATTTCACTACCACAACCTTTCAAGAGGATGACTGGGCAAACAGTGAGCTGAATGAGCCCAAGCATCAGACCGTTACAATTCTCAAACTATGAGGATAACGTTAACCAGGAAATGATGTGTTCTCTCCAATGCACATGCAATTAAAGGCCCCAGAACCAACCCTCACTTCACTCTTGAGCTAACTAAAATTTTAGGTACAACTCCTCTGGAGCTCGTACTTACTTGGAATAACAGCATAAATGAAAAGATGGCACCCTACCTGGTCGTGGTACAGGCTGTGCTGCTGGTGTTTGTGTTTTTCGAGCAGAAGCACCTTCCTTTAAAGAAGACAGAAGAGGTAACATTAACTGCTGGCCTTCTTGTCAGGTACAGTACTTTTCCATGAACACAGGGTTACAGAGGATATAACAAAAAAGAGCGCAATGTATTTCCATTATAAGAGAGAAAAAATACTGAACGTACTCAAAATTGTTCATAGATCCTGTTTTAGACATGGAGGAGAAGAGACACCTGGTAAACTTTTAAAGGTTTGCCTTTTAACCATCAGACGTCAATACAATTTTTTCCTACATTCATAGAATTATTTCCAATTTATTGTACTGTTACATTTCAGACAAAATCACTTCTAATCAAGGCTTTGTATGTAACTATAAGCAACTGGCTACAGAAATTTTAAAACAAGATATGCAATGCATATCTGGCAATGCATTCCTGCTGTCTAGAGTTTTAGTGACCACAAATAGCACTCTCACGATAATTGGTTCTGCTCATGCCTTATCCAATTACCTTAATGTAACAAACAAAAGACCTGTACTGCTATTTATTCTTGTTAACTCTGCAGTTAACGCACCATGTAAGGAAAAGTGAAGTCACATATCTGGTTGGAAAGCAACATAAAATCCCTGCAAGAACAAATTCTGCTCTTGGTTACTTCTTTCAAATCCCACCTGAATAATACGTACATTGCTAATCATGTAAAAACAAAACAAAACAAATATATTAAGGCATGTAGTTTATTCCAGCCACTGCAATATGTGAGGCTGACAGAAAACCTTTAAAATACATCCCTGGTTTCATGTTATCTGAATTATGGAAAAAACTGCTTCAAATGACTCCAGTGTGGCATACGTATATCCATGTATACTTAACAGCATGTTCTGTGATTCAGAATTTCAAAATCTAATAAGCAGGAGACAACACACAATGAGCTTCAAGTTCCATGATTTAACTAACACAAAAATTGCTTTGCAGTTTCCACAACAAGGGTTAGAACTCAGTCTTTCATACTCAGCAACCTCCTAATTATCTTCAGCATAAGGACTTAACCCTCGGTGGCTTAAAAAAAAAAAAAAAAAGACGAATCCTAATTTTTGCTGTCCTCTTTTCTGATTATTAAAATACCAACACCTATGTAGGACACCTGAGTCAGTAACAGTTATTTTAAGACTTACTTTTATAATATCCAAGAAAAGGTATTTTTGCCACTGTCCTTTCACAGCAATTACTCAGATAATGATAAAAATCAAAACACCGCACCCTAAAAGGAAGAACATCAGCAAAAGCTACCTATGAGAGAGGCCTTGCAACTGAGAAACGACTGCTATTTAAATCTGTATCACCTTACTTTCAGCCAAGAAAATGGAAATTTTGCATCTGTTTGTAGAGGAAAAATAGCACTTTCTACGTGAAAAGGCTGTTCCCACAGTGCGCTGATTACACACTTTGAAGACATACCAAGAATTCTCCCATGACATTTCTTTGAAGTCAGAGCAACACAAAATGGAAAGAAAACCTGAAAGCTACCAAAACATCACTTCCCATAATGTTATGTTTCGTATTTCTAAATCCAGCTTAGTTTGTTTGCACTCTTAACTATTGCTGGCTGCAGCCCCACATGTCCATTCATCTTTCCTCCCCCACAGAATCACTGCTGCAACTTCTCTGCCCCCTCTTCCAGCGATTGCCACTGATTGAGTGTTTGCAATAAACAGACCTGCAGGTCGTACTTCAGAGAGGGGTAGGAGCCATGAGTTGCTTCAAAGATAGTAGTGTTCTCCTGCAGCCTTGCAGAATAATTATCACTAAGCCTTGTTTTATTTTCCATATGAGTTGTGCTGCAAATTTTCTGTCTCCAACATTTTCACAAAGCTCCAGAACACATGTAGTCCTGTCTAATGAAATAGGTTCAAATCTTTTTTTATTTTATTTTCCTCCCCACATTTTTTTTCTGAATTATCTTCTCCAAAGCCAACAATAGAAACGAAAGTACAGAAGGATAAGTGAGGTTTTAAGAACACAACTGAAATAAATAAAACCACAAATGTAATGTGGAAGTGTCTGATTAATGGTGGGACACATAGCCATTTAGATGAGTAGACATTAAACCAATTCTACATCTGTGACCTTTGTTTGTATGAACAATTTCTGCAGAATCAATAAAGGAAAGAGGTCGTGACTTTTAGTTTTTTAAATCACTGCCTCAAGACTGATAATTTCATGGACAAACCTCAGCTCACAGCTTCTGATGGCTTCTTAGCACAGACACTGAGCAGTTCTGTCCTACTGGAGCTGTAAGATCCTTCCTCTGCAACTGATATACAACATCTCTGCACCTTATTACCGTGAGCGACCTAATCACCTTCTTCTAATGTTGAAAACTGCAAACAATGCAGTTGTAGAGGCTAGTACTTAATCCTAGACTTTGTATGCTTTTCTTCTTAAAAATCATTTATTAAGATGAGAAAAGACAGAAGTACGTAACAGAAGTTGACAGGAGAAAGATCAAGTATTTTCTATAAGGAAGGAAGTCATCAGCTTCCATTTTACATTGTCCTGAAAATGAAGGATATTGAGTTTATACACGATATGAATGCTTTTCAAAAGCATTTATATGGAGGTATAGGCTTTTCCCCATGACAAAGCACAGATTTATGATACACATTCTGTTTACAAGGCAAATATAACCTCAGAGACCTACACGCTATGGTTTCTCTCAGAGCAGAAAAAAATTGAGTTGACAGAGCAAGTATTGTAGTGGGTTCTTTAACCACACATGGTATGTGCAGCTGTTAATTTATGGCCCGTTAGCTATTCTGAGGCAGCTTCTCATTTGCATACTCTAACTCCATGTATATACAGCAGCTTATTTCTCAGTGAGTGCACAGAAAGATTTCACATTTCTAATGTGAAGTTTTATGTAGAAGTTACTCTTAAGTAACTTCACACTGCAAATTCCAACTCCAATTAGGGCAGCTTTTGTTTGTGCAGCTGTACCCTGAGCAGCAGAAGTCACTGTTTAGCTATTTAAAGAGCATTCAATTCAAAGTTTCTGAACACTTCACAGTTTTGCTCAAAGAACACGTACCTCATTCTTATGCAGAAGCCACTCGAAACCATTAAGGAGTACATTGTGAATATTCATAAGTTGAAATTAATTTAGTAACAAAACCATGTAATTCGAAAAACACAGACCTGTAAAATGACCACATAGCATGGTATTTTAATCATAAGCACCTTACTTGGTTTAGCTTTGCTAATTTACCATAGATAGTAACATATTTCTTCTGATTTATATGAACATTTACATATAGACATTTACATGATCAGGAACAAATACTTGACTTAGAATGAAATCAGGAGAACAGATATTGAAAGCTGTCTTGGATTTCATTACATCAATTACAGATAACACACCACATATACTTGCCATAGAAATTCACTCTGCTTCGCTATTAATGGTTCCTGCCATGATAGACACCTATAAAACACCTGTTTAATAAGCTTATTCACGGTCTGCTACTAAGCATTGTCCTATCTCAATTCCTACAGACATGGGTTTTATAGCAAACAAGTGCACAGGTATCAATACAAGCAACTGAGTACGTGTTAAAAATCCAGATTCCCTCACGCCCTGAAGGATCACTGGATTCTTCTATTGTATGCTCTGGTAATTAAGCTCTTAGCATGTTCTGTCCTAAACACACAGGTCTAAACAAATTGCAAAGGTTAAAAAGAATGCTGCTTTTCTACAAATTAACTCTCGAGTAAATCATTAACGTACGACAAACAGTCAAAACAATTCGATGACTTCAAATACACGCATCTAACATCTGGTCTGGATGTTCTACTTTCAGCCTGATAGAAGCATTTATCTTCATATAAATAGCTTGGATTCTGAAAACGTAAAGTTTTGTCCTAAAAATGTAAAGTCCTTAAAAGCCTTGAAAAGAAAATCTTCCAAAGAACCAAGCAAAACGATCAGATTGAGATGCCTCCACAGACTTCCTAACAATTCTGATTTTTCTATTCACATCAAGAGCTTCTTAGTAATGTTTTAAGTTTAGATAGTGCTTCTCATCATCATTTTATTTACACATGAAACTGGTAAAGGTTATTTGCACATTTCCATGCAGACAAATCTGCATCCACAACCTCCCAGGACAGATATTTCAATAATAAATTGCAAGTTTTTAGCTGCATCTCTAAATTTAAATTATGCTGTAAAATAATAGACCATTTGTTAACAGGATCTTAACTATCGTACAAATACTGCTAACATCACAGCCATTTTAACTTGCATTGCTTGCGACATTAATAAAAAGGTCATTTCAACTAGCTATATTGTGTTTCTACTTCCTTTTAATCAAGGAAATAGGAGGGAAATTGAAGCAGAAGCTATTGTTCTAGAATTAATTTTAAAAGGGGAAAAAAATACCATTATCTACCAAAAGATTAAGATACAGATTGTGCATGGAGAGCAATAACACTGCTTCACTGCTTTGCCAACTAATAAACAATTAATAAACTAATAAACTCAGATGACATTAGACAAAAGGGGTTACTAAAAGTTAGTAAGTAAACAGCTTACACTGAGCATCATGGCTTCTCAAGCACAGCATCAAGAAAAATACCCATGGAAGACTGCCAACCCTCAAGTCTGGTTACAAGAAAGAAAGAAAACTTAATGTTCAGCTTCTTACAAAGATAAAGCAAATTTCATTATAGGTGAGGCTATGTTTTGAAAGTACTGTTGAAGTACAGAAATTTCCCAACTCCAAGAAAATCAGATGCAGACAGTCTCTGCTGAATGAGTACGGCATTATAATGATGGAGGACAGGGAAAAAGGAGGGGGGGGGGGGGATGGCAAGAATAAAACCAGGGTGATACCATCAAGAACTGACTGAAATTTGGAGACATTAGTACTGGATGTTCCACAGCATTTAAGTTCAACTTTTGTTTACAAAGGTGGTTTTTCCTTGGTGCATTATTAAATTAAAATTAAAAGGTGACTCAAAAACCAAAAGATTGACACTGTAA